TTTTTTTTTTTTCTCGCAGATAATCCACAGGCCATTATCAATCTTTCACCATATGTAATAATCTCTTCTTATTTCTCATATATTATTTGTTACCCCTCAGATTATTTTGAATCCAATATTATGAGATGATTTGGTAAAATTTGTGTTTGATACAGACGAAATAGTTCAGAATTTTACTTACTCGAACTTAATTGCGATTTTTTTACTTTTTTTGTTTGTAGATCACAGTCATTTGCAGGATTCTCTCTGGGTAAAAACATCCTCATCTTTTCTTTTCTTCTATGATGATACGTGTTGCTTGTGGTCCTAGGAACAACACAGATCCTTGTGTTTAGTGATTATGCCTTATTTTTTAGTTTGTGTGATCTTATTGCTTAGTTGATGTTTTTTTATTAAGATGGTGTTGCATTATAAGTCTTTGTTTAAGTGTTAGAAGTAGGCCTTAAAGTTGTTAATCTTAATTGTTTAAAGTTAACTGTTAATCTTAATTGTTTTGTATGAACTGCAAATAGCAAATATTAAAAGTGGTTAGGTTAATTATGCTAAATCACCAAGTCGTTAATTATGCTAAATCACCTACTTGGGATGATGAATATACCGCAAGTGATGTAGTATTATTTGTTAGAGGTTACTAAAAGTGTGTGTGTGATAGTGTGGCACGTGACAAATTAGTATTTATTATTTGGTTCGGTCAATGAAGGGGAATATATGCTGAAGTGTTATGTATGTGATGATACTCATACGACAGTCTTGAGAATATACTGTGCTAAGAGTGTGTTTTTTTTTCTTTTTGGTGTTATTTGCTTGATTTTGTCTTGTCGTTTGGTTGAGCCTTTTAATGTCGTGTATATGCTAACGATGTTGTATTATGCTAAGAATGTATATTCAAAGTTTCTTGTTTCATATGAACTACGATAAAGAACCTCTTGGTGAATGGATGATGAACTACCAGGCATAAAAGGAATGAAAAATCCAAAATGAATGCCGCAAGTGATCTACTATTATGTTTTAGAAGTTCTGCTTGATTGAACGGAAATGTAGACTTTATGTAGCTTTGCAAATATTACGCTTTTTTTTTCTTTGGATTTTGTTTTCAAGTAACCATCACATCACTTCATCGCTTGTTACTCTGACTCAACCTACTATTTTTTATAACTTACTATTTTTTTTAAAAATTAGCATTTCCCATTTTTTGTTTTGTCATTGCTTGACAATGATTTTCTTATACATTTCATAGATTATTTGCTTTAGTTTCAGTAAATGGGGATTAAAATGCTTTGTACCTGCAGAAAAATGGACGGGTTCATTGCAACTAAGGTGATGTCTCACTCCGATCTCCACAACCTTGAAATGCATGGAAATTTGCAGCCACATCTTATGTTCCATGCTCCCCGGGTGCCAGTAACCTTCACCACTTCTGTCGGGAACTTCAAGGTCACGGCATCTCTGCGACAGAGAAACCACGCCTTTCTATGGACGTCGAGATGGCGCGATTGCCATGAGGCTAATGGGTGGCACGAAGGTGAGACGCTGTAGTTCCTCCTTGAAGACGAAGACAATCACTTTCATGTGCAAATGGAGCAGCCACTGGAGCCATTTGCACATGACAGTGATTGTCTTCGTCCCCAAGAAGGAACCACAGCGTGTCACCTTCGTGACACCCATTAGCCTCATGACAATCGCACCATCCTGATTCTCATATAAAGACGTGTTTCCTCTGTCGCAGAGATGCCGTGACCTCAAAGTTACCGACAAGAGTGGTGAAAGTTACTGGCACCCGAGTAGCATGGAACACAAGATGTGGCTGCAAATTTCCATGCATTTCAAGGTTGCGGAGATCGGAGTGAGACATCACCTTACTTGTGAACCCGTCCATTTTTCTGCAAGTACAAATCATTTCAATCCTCAGTCACTGAAACTAAAGTAAATACTCTATGAAATGTATAAGAAAATCATTGTTAAACAATGGCAAAACAGAAAATGGGAGATGTTAATTTTAAAAAATTAGTAAGTTATAAAATAATAGTAGGTTGAGTCAGAGTAACAAGCGCAAGAGTGATGGTTACTTGAAAACAAAATCCAAAGAAAAAAATGCATAATATTCGCAAAGCAACATAAAGCCTACATTTTCATTCAACCAATCAATAACTTCTAAAATATAATAGTAGATCACTTGCGGCATTCATTTTAAATTCTTTTTACGTCTGATAGTTTATCATTCATTCACCAATCTCTAGTATAATACTAGGTTCTTTATTGTAATTCATATGAATCAAGGACATCACACACTTTGAGTATATTCTTAGCATAATAGAACACATAGCATATACACGACATTAAAAGGGTCAGCTAAACGACTAGACAAAATCAAGCAAAATGATACCAAAAAAAAAAAGACGAAATCAAAGGCGAAAACACGCTTTTAGCACATTATATTCTCAAGACTGTCGTACGAGTATCATCACAAACATAACACTCTAGCTTATATTCCCCTTCAATTAATTGCAACAAGCACAATATGCTAAAGACTAAACCAAATAATAAATGCTAATTTCACAAAGTCACTTGCCACACTATCACACATACACTTTCAGTAACTTTTAACAAATAATACTACATCACTTGTAGTATATTCATCATTCAGAGTAGGTGGTTTAGCAGAATTAACCTAACCACTTTTTTGTCACTGGAGACTTAACAAAAACATATTAAGAATTAACCACTTTAAGGCTTGCTTCTAACACTTAAACAAAGACTTATAATGCAGCACCATCTCAATAAAAAAAATCAACCAAGCAACCAAGCAATCAGATCACACAAACTCAAAAATAAGGCATAATCACTAAACAAAATGATATGTGTTGTTCCTAGGACCACAAGCAACACGTATGAAAAGAAAATAAAAGATGAGGATGTTTTTACCTAGAGAGAATCTTGCAGATGACTATGACCTGCGAACGAAAAAAAAAAGGTAAAAAAATCGCAATTAAATTCGAGTAAGTAAAATTCTAAACTATTTCGTCAGTATCAAACACAGATTTCACCAAATCATCTCATAATGCTAGATTCAAAATAATCTAAGAGGTAACAAATAATATATGAAAAATAAGAAGAGATTATTACAGATGGAAGATTGATAATTGCCTGTGTGATTATCTGCGAGAAAAAAAAGGAATAAAAAATACAAAAAATTCAACTGAAGAGTTAGTGCGGGATTGTTATGTTATATATAACAACATCCAATTTATTTTTATTTTTTTTTGGAACTTAAAAGAAAGATTCATTTTCCAAATCAAACTAAACGGACATTACTCAAAAGCTATTCATTCTATAAAGACATAAATAAATATTTCAAAATAAACATGTTACGATTAATCAAACAGTAGTTTATACATCCAAATTGAATTTAAATATCAACAGAGTTTGCAGAAAGGTAAAGACATAATTAAAAACAACCAAGTCCGTCGTCTCGTGTCTGCCGCTAACTCGATCAACGTGAAAAACAAAGGGGTGAGCACTGTCTCTCGGCTCAGTGGTAAATTTCATACTAGCATCGATTCAATATAAACGCAGATAGGATAATAATCACACGAACATGAGAAGCTTACTGTCACACTACTGATAACATCCCTGCTTGGGTAAATTCGAACTAGTGACTCTTATTTCAAGCCTCCATAATTTACCCGGCTAATTAGCTATTATACGCACCCGGCTTCAACCCCCAGGTAAATCGGACTAGTGACTCTTATTTCAAGTCTCCATAATTTACTTGGCTAATTAGCTATTATAGGTTGTTAACCTAAGTTCATGAACGTCGGTATGGTTACTTACTAGTGCATTCGGCATCATCTGATCCCGCTAATAAATAACTCTACTAGTGTCATTGCCATTACACAGTCTCACTAATAGAAAACTTAACTGATAATCACCTGGCCTTGTGACTCTTATTGCAAGCTGCCATGGTAAAAGTTCACATCACACATTTCGGTTCGGCCCACCAGCCCA